CGCTCTTCCCAATTTGTTTCTTCGACTGATTTTTGGTAACTGTTTTAGCTTAACCACCTTGGCGTGACCATACGGAATCTTCGATAACTTTCCTGTCTCCGAAGACTGCATCTACTCGAGACAATTTGTTTTCGACCGTACGAATTCTTGCCTATGCTTGGCGTGTAGATTTTGTCTTTATTCTCTCGAATATTATCATATAAATTTCGACTCTTGTCATCTTCGAGCAATCCTAACAAATGCCTTGTAGTCTTCGAGTAGGCCTAACAACATCATAAAACATATAAACATGTATAATATCAAAACATAGAAACTTTATGTTTTTGATGAAACGAAAATGGAAATCATTGTCTTTATGAATTATTTCCAGAAAGAAATGAGAATGATAGTATTATTTTTTATTTTTGTAAGAGAAATGTTAGCGATATTCATTCTAATATTCTCTTTCTAATACTCTTTAATATTAGTTGAATATCATAAATTGTGATAGGTTTTATCACTAAATCAAGTGAGAAACTCAGTAAATGAGACGTTGAACTCACAATTTGTGATTTCTAATAAATTCCAATCAATAATAAAGAGAGTATTAGTGAATGAGTGTTAGAGAGAGTGTAATTAACACTCCTCTTTTGTAATCTTATCATCTTATTTGATATATATCATATATAATACGCACATTGTATCTATGCATCGTAGATGACCATCATAGATGTTGAAAATAGAACATGAAAACAGAGGTATATGACCAAGCACAAAAATAACAAATTGAAATAAGAAAATCTGGAATTTCACACATACAAAAGGGGACAAAACTGATTTGATATATTTGAGTTAAGAATTCAGCTTTGCATACATTGAAGGTGTTTACATCAAGTGTTTAAATATTAAAACTGACTAACCATTGGTTGGGTAAAGCAAACAAGTGAAACAACAATTATAATTAAACTAACAAACAAACATCATTTACATGCACAACTTACTTTTTTTAAACATTAGCAACCTTTAACCAAACTTACAAGCAAAACAAAAATTGTAGAAACTTTTTGAGTTTGTTGTGATCAAAGGTCACCTTCTCTTGAGTAGCTTTTATTATGAACCCATTTGAATCACATTTTAGAGTCTAAAATGTTTTCCACTTGTGCTCTTTCTATCTAGTCTACACCCAGCATAGTCTGAATCTGAGTAACCTATCAGACTTAGTGAGACTCCCTTTGGAACCCCACATTGGTTGTACCTTTCAAATACTTAAGGATTCTCTTCACACTCTTCATATGAGATTCTTTAGGATTAGCCTGAAATCTTGCACATAGGCACACAACAAACATTATGTTAGGCCTACTTGCTGTCAAGTACAAGAGTGATCCAATAATGCCTCTATACTTTGAATTATCAACAACAACTCCTTTCTCATCTAAGTCAAGATTGCAATTGTTTGTGTGGAAACCTCCTTACACCCTTCCATACCAAATTTTTTCAGAAGTTCATTGCAATACTTGCTTTGGCTTATAAATATTTTATCATGCATTTGTTTAATTTGCAACCCCAAAAAGAATGTGAGCTCTCCCATCATTGACATTTCAAATTCTCCTTACATGGGTTTAGCAAATTTTTTACATAGAGAGGTATTTGTAGATCCAAACACAATATATTCCACATATATTTGTACATACATTGTATCATTTTCAAACTTCTTGACAAACAATGTATTATCCACCTTTCCTTTTTCATAGTCATTCTCAATCAAAAATTTGCTCAACCTGTCATACCACGATCTAGGAGCTTGCTTCAAGCCATAGAGTGTCCTTTTGAGCTTGTACACATGATTAGGCTTCTTGAATTCCACAAAGCCAGGTGGCTGTTCCACATACACTTCCTCTTGTTCGAGTAAAGTATTAATAAATGAGTTAATCACCAGTGTAAGGTTTTTTTACACTGAACCAATCAGATCTTTTAAATTATTTTATTTTATTTTTATTTTATTAAATAAGTAATTGATATGACACTATTAAAAATTTTGATTGATTGTTAGTGCTGAAAATATATAGATAATTAACTCTAAATAAATAACTTTTTTTTTTAAATTACGATGGAATTAAATTAGAAATCAATCATGCCATAGTGAAGTGTGTTGCTGGTAATACTTTTCGTTTCCACTTGCCAGCATTCTACTTTTTTATATTTGAATCTATCTGAGTTTCATAAGTTTACTTCAATTTTCAAGTTTGATTATCTTGGAAGATGTTAAAAAGAATTTATTTTCTTTGATCAAATCATGTTAATTTAAAATATAATATATTAAATATTTTTTCTTTTCATTTTAAAAAATTATTTAATCTTTAACAAGTATATATCCTCGGGCATACATCAATACAAGCCTATATTTTAATTAAACTGGATTTAAAAAGATTATTGTTTTAATTAATTATATTCAAAAAAAAATTTTGTTAGGATAAATATGTAGAAAAGTGATTTTGAGATATTTAATTTTATTTGGATATAAAAAAGCAATTTTTATAAAACAAATCAGTTTTTAGAGGGAGAAAAAAAATTGCTGAGAAATAATCATAATTTTCAAATTTTAAGATGCATAAAAATAACTAATATTTATTTGAAAAAGAAAACTTTTTTGGTTGTCTTAAACATACTTATTTTTCTTCTGAGTAAATAGCTGAAATTGGGAAAATTAGACTTTCCAAAACATGCTCTTAACTTGCCTATCTTTATTTCACCCATCCTTTCTTAGGTAATTTGGAATTTGAAGACCATCCAAATAGAGGCAAGTGATGAAAATTCTTTGAAGAGATATAGAATGCACAAATTAGAAGAGTGTCAACTATCTAGATTACTGGATATTGAGATTCTATATTTTCTCCTTCATAGAAATCCTAATCTGAAAAGCCTATTGTTGAGTAATTGTTTAATTAAGCAGTTAGTGCCTCCGAGATGCTTTATTAATGAAAAATTGGGGGTTGTTCCAATGCTCAAAAGCTTGATGCTAATGAACTTACCTTCACTTAAGATGATAGGCTTTGAAGAAGATGCAATACTGTTTCAAAGGTTAGAGTGCTTGATTTTAAAGGAATGTCCATGTCTAAACATTATAGCGCCTTCCTCAGTATCTTTCACTTGCTTGACAAATCTGGAAGTGAGTAATTGTAATAAATTAATCTACTTAATGACACCATCAACTGCAAAAAGCTTGGTTCAACTCACCACCATGAAGGTAATTCAATGTGACTCGATGGTAACCATTGTATCAGAGCCAGAAAATGAAGAACAGATGCAATGGATTATTTTCAGACAACTGAAGGAAATAGAACTCGATTCTCTGCCTGAACTCGAAAGTTTTTGTAGCTCCAACTGTTATGTCTTCGAGTTTCCATTGTTGGAGAAATTTGTAGTGAGCGCATGTAGCAATATGAAAAGCTTCACATTCTCTAATCAAGTCAACGAGACACCAAATTTACGACAAGTATGTGTTACACATGGAGAGGAGGAAAAAATATCATATTGGAAAGGTGATTTAAATGCTACCATACAGCACATGCACACGCTCTGGGTACGTATCTAACTAACTATTATTGATGGTTATTGACTAACTCATTATAGTATTCCGTTAAGTATATTCTTTTAATTAATGAGGCTTGCTAAGAACTTCGAGTAAAGTATTAATAAATGAGTTAATCACCAGTGTAAGGTTTTTTTACACTGAACCAATCAGATCTTTTAAATTATTTTATTTTATTTTTATTTTATTAAATAAGTAATTGATATGACACTATTAAAAATTTTGATTGATTGTTAGTGCTGAAAATATATAGATAATTAACTCTAAATAAATAACTTTTAGTTCTTATAGGTTAGTTCTCAGCCTTTGACTCTTTTCAACCCAAATCATCTCTCCATTTGGAACTCCATATTTCCTAGAATAACAGTTCCCAATTGTATGGCCTTTTTTGCGGCAATAAAAACAAGTTGTTTATCTAGAAGAGTTGCTTTTAAATTTTCTAAAATTTTGGTTTTTCACAAAAGCTTCTTTCTTTGACTTAAATGGCATGCTCATGTTTGCATTAAAACCAAGTCCACTCTTATCAAAAGTGTTTCTTTGTTTTCCCAAAAGAATGTTTAAGTTTGCATTTCCATTTGTGAACTTTGCAAGAGTGGATTTTAAATCAACATTTTCCTTTTCAAAAATTTTGCAATGTTGACAAATATTTTTTGAGGAAGTGGAGTTTTCACAAAGAGCTTCACTAAAGTTAAACATGGTTTGACGATTTTCATGCTCACACTTCAAATCCTCAAGCTCTTGTTCAGCTTTAATTAAAGCATTTTCATACCATTTTAGCTTATTTTTCAGCTTTGAATTTAAGGCTCCTAGTTTGACAGCTTCTTCATGAATTTGTATAAAAGCTTCTTGGAGTTGATCATAGTCCAGATTAGATTCAAGGTCAGAATCACTTACAATTGTGTCTTGTTCAGTTCCAGCCATCAAGCACAGGTTGTTCTTCTCACACTTAGATTCATCACTTAATGT